TGGGCTTTAATATAAACACATGACATGGTCCACAGATGATGGGCTTTAATATTAAATACATGACATTGTCCACAGATGGTGGGCTTTAATATAAATCACATGACTTGGTCCACAGATGGTGGGCTCTAATATTAAATACATAACATTGTCCACTGATGGTGGGCTTTAATATAAAACACATGACATGGTCCACAGATGGTTGGCTTTAATATAAATCACATGACTTGGTCCACAGATGGTGGGCTTTAATATAAAACACATGACATGGTCCACAGATGGTGGGCTTTAATATAAAACACATGACATTGTCCACAGATGGTGGGCTTTAATATAAACACATGACATGGTCCACAGATGATGGGCTTTAATATTAAATACATGACATTGTCCACAGATGGTGGGCTTTAATATAAAACACATGGCATTGTCCACAGATGGTGGGCTTGAATATAATACACAAGACATGGTCCACTGATGGTGGGCTTTAATATAAACACATGACATGGTCCACAGATGGTTGGCTTTAATATAAACACATGACATTGTCCACAGATGATGGGCTTTAATATAAAACACATGACATGGTCAACAGATGGTGGGCTTTAATATAAAACACATGGCATTGTCCACAGATGGTGGGCTTTAATATTAAATACATGACATTGTCCAAAGATGGTTGGCTTTAATATAAACACATGACCTGGTCCACAGATGGTGGGCTTTAACATAAAACACATGAAATTGTCCACAGATGGTGGGCTTTAATATTGAATACATGACATTGTCCACAGATGGTGGGCTTTAATATTAAATACATGACATTGCCCACAGATGGTGGGCTTTAATATAAAACACATGACATTTTGAATAAGTACCATTTAGCAGAATTTGTTTAGAATATTTTTTTAAATATAACAATGGGAAAATATCTGATAATTATTTTTTGTCATGTTGGTGATATTTTTCAGTCATTGCTTGATGTAAAGTTCATGTTAAAATATCAAATGGTAAATTGTGCTAGCTGTGTAAATGGTAGCTTGATGTTTTCTGAGCCCATCATCATCACATGGAAGGCTAATCAATGGTAGCTTGATGTTTCTGAGCCCATCATCACCACATGGTAGGCTAATCAATGGTAGCTTGATGTTTCTGAGCCCATCATCATCACATGGTAGGCTAATCGATGGTAGTTTGATGTTTCTGAGCCCATCATCATCACATGGTAGTCTAATCAATGGTAGTTTGATGTTTCTGGGCCCATCATCATCACATGGTAGGCTCATCAATGGTAGTTTGATGTTTCTGAGCCCATCATCATCACATGGTAGGCTAATCAATTGTAGCTTGATGTTTCTGAGCCCATCATCATCACATGGTAGACTAATCAATGGTAGCTTGATGTTTCTGAGCCCATCATCATCACATGGTAGGCTAATCAATGATAGCTCGATGTTTCTGAGCCCATCATCATCACATGATAGGCTAATCAATGGTCGCTTGATGTTTCTGAGCCCATCATCATCACATGGTAGGCTAATCAATGATAGCTCGATGTTTCTGAGCCCATCATCACCACATGGTAGGCTAATCAATGATAGCTCGATGTTTCTTAGCCCATCATCATCACATGATAGGCTAATCAATGGACGCTTGATGTTTCTGAGCCCATTATCATCACATGGTAGGCTAATCAATGATAGCGCGATGTGTCTGAGCCCATCATCATCACATGGGAGACTAATCAATGGTAGCTTGATGTTTCTGAGCCCATCATCATCACATGATAGGCTTTTAAAATCACCATTTGTTCATGGTCTTTGGTCAGTCCCTTTTTCTGTCCATCTTTATCAAATTTTAATGATAGCGCTATTTTTCAGAAAGAGCAAGAGGGATCTTTCTCTTTCAAATGAAGGTTCCCCATGGTCCTAGTTATGCATAGCAAATTGTGGGAATTGAAGTTTGTCAACGCTATTTCTTAGAAAGTGCTGGAGTGATCTTTGATTGCAAATTTCACATGATTGTTCCCCTTGGTTCCTATTTAGACATTTTAAATTTAAGGACTAAATGGAAACCAAGATAGCCAACTGGTGGCCATCTTGAATTTGGGTTAAATAATGTAAGTGCTCTTTCTGAGAAGTCCTGGAAGCATTTTTAGCTCACCTGGTCCGAAGGACCGATGAGCTTATGTCACGGTGTGGTGTCCGTCGGCCGTCTTCCGTCTCTCTGTCAACTTTTCTTTTAAAACACTACTTATTATTGAACGACCCAGTAGATTTTGACTAAATTTGGTCTGGAGCATCCTTAGACCAAGGGCTCTCATTTTTGTATAAATGGTGACACCCACCATGTGGGTGCAGAGGGGCGGGGCCCAATAGGGGAAATCAAGGTAAAACCTTTAAAATCCTTCTTCTACCATAGGGATTAGGGGATTTCATCCCAATTTGGTCTGGAGCATCCTTGGGCAAAAGGTAATCATTTTGTATAAACAGTGAGTGTGGCCCCTTCGGGTGCAGAGGTGCGGGCCCAAAAGGTGAATTTGAGGTTTTAGTCTTTCTGTACCATTAGAGGTAAAAACTTTAAAATCCTTCTTCTATCATAGGGATTAAGGGATTTTATCCAAATTTGGCCAGGAGCATCCTTGGGCAAAGAGAACTAAATTTTGAATTTTGATAGTTCAAGTTTGTTAGTGCTATTTCTTAGATAGATCTTTCTCAAATTTGACAACAGGTTTCCAATGGCCCCTACTTATGAATGATTTTTGGGAATGATAAAAAAAACAAAATGGCCACCAGATGTTATCTTGAATTTGAATATTTCTATTTTCATTTGCTCTGCTTTCCCTGATGAGCACTGTTGAATACCATTAAGGTATCCACCCCAGGATCCCTACTGTCACTATGGAACTGACTTCCTTGCAGGGGCGTTGGGTCTCCACCCCCCAAGTTGAATTTTGTGGGTTCAATTTTGTTATCACTTTTTCATATGTTTGGCTCCCTTGTTTAAAATACCCTTGTCTCTGATCAGAATTCATCCATCATTGACAGGACTTCTATTATGTAAGAAGTACAAAATGTAGCATATAACTATGCAATTCTTATAACATTTGTCCTGTTAAGGATTTCCAGCATGGGACTGGGTGATAGAACCTGTAAGAAAATTAAAGAGCAAAGAAGGTCAAAATTTGTCTTTTGTAAATCTGATAAATAATATTTCATTGTGTGGGCTCCAGATCCTTCTAGGATGTAGGTGTGTTGTGCAGGATGAGTCCGCTATCCATGTTTATCCGAGACATGCCCTTTATTTTTAGGATCAAGCAATTTCTACTGTACTCCGATACCCTAGGATCTCTTGATTAACACACAATAAGCAGCACTGTTACACCTCTCATTCCCCGGCAACATGGGGGGAATCAAGCAGTTCTATTTAAATGTCCTCTCATTCCCCGGCAACGTGGGGGGAATCAAGCAGTTCTATTTAAATGTCCTCTCATTGCCCGGCAACGTGGGGGGAATCAAGCAGTTCTATTTAAATGTCCTCTCATTGCCCGGCAACGTGGGGGGAATCAAGCAGTTCTATTTAAATGTCCTCTCATTGCCCGGCAACGTGGGGGGAATCAAGCAGTTCTATTTAAATGTCCTCTCATTGCCCGGCAACGTGGGGGGAATCAAGCAGTTCTATTTAAATGTCCTCTCATTGCCCGGCAACGTGGGGGGAATCAAGCAGTTCTATTTAAATGTCCTCTCATTCCCCGGCAACATGGGGGGAATCAAGCAGTTCTATTTAAATGTCCTCTCATTCCCTGGCAACATGGGGGGAATCAAGCAGTTCTATTAAAATGTCCTCTCATTGCCCGGCAACGTGGGGGGAAACAAGCAGTTCTATTTAAATGTCCTCTCATTGCCCGGCAACGTGGGGGGAATCAAGCAGTTCTATTTAAATGTCCTCTCATTCCCCGGCAACGTGGGGGGAATCAAGCAGTTCTATTTAAATGTCCTCTCATTCCCCGGCAACGTGGGGGGAATCAAGCAGTTCTATTTAAATGTCCTCTCATTCCCCGGCAACGTGGGGGGAATCAAGCAGTTCTATTTAAATGTCCTCTCATTCCCCGGCAACGTGGGGGGAATCAAGCAGTTCTATTTAAATGTCCTCTCATTCCCCGGCAACGTGGGGGGAATCAAGCAGTTCTATTTAAATGTCCTCTCATTCCCAGGCAACGTGGGGGGAATCAAGCAGTTCTATTTAAATGTCCTCTCATTCCCAGGCAACGTGGGGGGAATCAAGCAGTTCTATTTAAATGTCCTCTCATTCCCAGGCAACGTGGGGGGAATCAAGCAGTTCTATTTAAATGTCCTCTCATTCCCAGGCAACGTGGGGGGAATCAAGCAGTTCTATTTAAATGTCCTCTCATTCCCAGGCAACGTGGGGGGAATCAAGCAGTTCTATTTAAATGTCCTCTCATTCCCAGGCAACGTGGGGGGAATCAAGCAGTTCTATTTAAATGTCCTCTCATTCCCAGGCAACGTGGGGGGAATCAAGCAGTTCTATTTAAATGTCCTCTCATTCCCAGGCAACGTGGGGGGAATCAAGCAGTTCTATTTAAATGTCCTCTCATTCCCAGGCAACATGGGGGGAATCAAGCAGTTCTATTTAAATGATCAGTTAGGTGGCAGTATATGTACTGCTATATGACTTAGTTCAGGAAGAAACCGTTGTTGAAATGTCATTAGTCAGTCATCAGTCACCAATGGTACAGTCAAGGTTTATATAGACGTAACTCCTCAGTCACCAATGGTACAGTCAAGGTTTATATAGACGTAGCTCCTCAGTCACCAATGGTACAGTCAAGGTTTATATAGACGTAGCTCCTCAGTCACCAATGGTACAGTCAAGGTTTATATAGACGTAACTCCTCAGTCACCAATGGTAAAGTCGAGGTTCATAACCACACATTGTAACTGACCTACATTTTTATGGCATCAATCCATTGCAATCTTTTCAAGAGTTCAGTCGACAGGGATCAACACAATCACATGACCTGCCGGTGATACAAGCACGTGGGCGACAGGAGGACGATCATAACATTGACAACGCCTTCTCCAAGTACGCACACAACCCGCATCAAGAGGAGTACGAGGATGGTCCGCCTTCCTCTCCTGATAGTGACGGAGGTAATGTCCTACAACTGAACAGAGAAACACTGTTTCTGTGATGTGTCAGTGTCATTATAAACTCAGTGTTTTACTCAAACTTATGTCTCTAATAAAGCTTATTCTCTAAAACTAAAGCTATTAAGATATCTTACCAGTGTCAGAGGTAAGCAATTTGTGGTGTCTGTACTTAAGTCTAAAGGTCTATCAGACTTCAACCTTCTCTCAATTCTTCAGTTTTCCATCATATTGCTTTTGCTCTCCAAATTTCATGAATGCTTTTTTTATTATAATTTTTCAAGTATTTGGTGTTGGGCTTCAAACTAGGAGTGCATGGCTATGGTATTTGATATGGCAGTGATTGAGATAATCAGTTATGATGAGATTTTTGAGGCAGGAATGTTTAATACGCTGTTATGTTTTAGTAACACTGGGAGCGCTGGAGTTCTCTCTCCTGTATGACTCGGCTGCCAACGCTCTTCATTGTACGATTGTACGAGCCAGGGTAGGTCACTCTGTACTGTTACCATGGATATTTTTTCATATGGGGGATCAATTGAGACAAATTTTGAAGTATTTCATTTAATGGAAATATATCCCAAGTTCTGATTATAAAGAATATCTTTCTCTTCGGATATTGGGATGTCCTCTTTAATTGTCTGTAATTTTTTCCAAATCTATCAAAACATAGGTAGGTACCTTGGATAGAGTATTATAAAGTTTTATTTAGTCTGGAACATTCTTAAGCCAAGTTGACTCAATTTATGGAAATATTTACAAATACTTTTATTGAGAAAACTTTCTCTTAATTGCTCAAACCCCCAGGTGAGCAATACAGGCTCTCTGGGCCTCTTGTTAGATCAGCTAGCCACTGGTACAAACTACTAGCCACTTCCTACAGAGGGCGTTCTTTTTCAATGCATCAGCCTGAGTTGAACTGGGAACCTCTGGCTTAACTTAGTCTTACTCTCTACTGAGTGAACTTAAGACATTCTCTCTAGCCGAGTAGGAAGTGGCTAGTATGTTGTACCAATGTGGTGGGGGTGGGGGTTATCTCCCATCTGGGGAATCATCACAGACTACGACAGACTTTGTTTCCGCCATTTATTTAAAACAACAGCAACCGTAGCACAAACAAGACGTAACATAGAAAACACCCTACAAAGACACAATAACACACGTATAAGAGACTGCCTCAATGTTTCACTGAAATATTACATTATACACCATGCAATGTATTTATAAAGTATAAAACCTATCAAACTCATTATATTTATTATCTGTAATTATACGGTAATTAATACTATATAATTTAGCTCCGTCACATATTCCATTATTATAGTGGCATTACTTGTAAAACTATGTGGCTCTATGGCCTATTTAATTGACTAATTAAATACTATCAATAATATACAATATCTGAAATACATTTTATCATTAATTACATTACATTAATTAAACGTGAACTTACTCTATCATTCCGACAGGGGCTAGCTCCGTGCTTGTACACTACACAGGTTACTACACAGGTCTACTAGACTTCCATTTCACACCTGGACCAAAATATAAGTGGTCCTTTACTAGGGGGTCATAATAATCATTTAGACGGCTATAGCTAGTTAACATAATGTTTAATTGGTATTTAAGTTTATTACTTAAAATAGAATGGTCTCTAACATAGACAATACTTTCCCAATATTCATTATACAGGTTGACCAATGCTAAAAATGGCAGGTAGAAGTAATTGGCTCAATAAAGCTTATTTTGAGATATAAAGTTATTAAAAGTTAGGTAGCTTCTTTGAAACAATCATGGGACAATATTTCCTTATTATAAAACATATGTAACACTCCAACTCATACCTGGTTCTCTTCTAAATCCTGGTATCAAAATGTTACACCCAGCATGGCTGCCAGTTTCTTGCACACAGAGGTAGAAAGCATGCAGGTGAGGGATACAGTTGAGGTGGCAGTCACATGACCAACAGGTACTTTACTTGGGTCACAGGTCACAGGACAGGTAAACATACACAGAAGCACATGGGACTGTTGACATCTGAACACATGGACAATGTTACATACATGACAGCACCATACACCACTATACCATACAACCTATGACATACTTACTTTAAACATTACGGTCGCATTTGATATACTATACACATATTATGGACATTACCTAATGGTGGGAGTTATATATTTTGTATGTATTTCTGTAAAAACCATGTAGTTAAAACTGTGAAACACCAGACAGGCTGTCTCCGCCACACCAAGGTGACATATACAATTTTGAAGTATGTCTAATTTAATTTCAATGTTTTTTATTACTTTGTTTAATTTCGCTCATGAACTGATTTTGGTGTCTCATTTTCACAGGGACTGAAAGCAATGGACTCCAATGGTTTGTCAGATCCTTATGTTAAACTCCACACACTTCCAGGGGCAAGTAAGGTAAGTGAAAGGTCACAGCAGACATTGGGGTTAGAGGTCATACTGGATAGATTAAAAGTCGAAGGTCAAAAACGGTAGGGGTCATTGAAGAAAAAAGGTCAGATGTATTGGAAAAAGGTCAGATGTATTGGAAAAAGGAAGAGTTCATACTTGATTGATCAGAGGTCAATAAAGGTCATTGGGGAATCATAAAATGTATTAGATGTAGGAAAATTTTCAGTTGTTTATATTCAACAGGACAAAGGTCAATGTCGGATGTGATAGGAAAATTGAAATTTCAGTCGATAAGTGAAAGATCAAGAAATATTTCAGATTTTACCAGGGTCAAAGTTCATGCTGTCAAAATAAACTGAAGCCTACCTTTAGTGAAATATAATCTTACCTGTTGCCCCTCGCATGGAGAAACTTGGGGGAACAACTGTGATAATCTGTATGACAATGTGAGTGACCTAAGTAATATCAATAAGTGTACAATTACATTACTTCAGTATGCTTGAAGTTGGAAAAGTAGGATTTTGAGTATCGAAATTATGATGTAAAGGTGAAAGCTACTGTCCTACACTATATCTGCCAATCCTGATGGAAGGGAAGATAACTCTATTGACTTATCTTCGGGACTTTATTTTGTGTTTTGTTACAGTCTAATAAGCTAAGAACTAAAACAATCCACAAGACACTGAATCCCGAGTGGAACGAGACTCTCACCTACTACGGCATCACGGAAGATGACATGCTCAAGAAAACTCTGAGGTACGACAAACTTACTGTGTGAGCTAACAAACTCAGTCTGAGGTAACTTACTGTGTGAGCTAACAAACTCAGTCTGAAGTACGACAAACTTACTGTGTGAGCTAACAAACTTAGTCTGAGGTACGACAAACTTATTGTGTCAGCTAACAAACTCAGTCTGACATACGACAGACTTACTGTGTCAGCTAACAGACTTGGTCTAAATATGACAAACTTACTGTGTCAGCTACCAAACTCAGTCTGAGGTACGACATCATACGAAGGGCTACAAAGTTTGTTCAAATGAATGACCTTGACATTTATTCAAGGTCACAGGGATCAAAAATGTTCAAAATCTTTAAACGACTTCTTCTTAATAACCAAAAGGCCCATGGTGTTGATATTTAGCCGGTAGCATGCTGGGATCAAGGGCTACCAAGTTTGTTAAAGTGAATGACCTTGCCTTGTATTCAAGGTCATAGCGGTCAAATTTGTTAAAAATCTTTTAAGGACTTCTGAACAACATAGAGGCCCAAAATGTTAATATTTAGCCAGTAGCAAGCTTGGATGAAGGGCTATTAAGCTTTTTCCTTTGAATGAACTTGACCCACTATCAAGGTCAAATTTGGTCAAATATGTATCAACATTTAAATGACCTAATTTCAATAAACAAAAGGATAGGGTGGTGATATTTTGCAAGTTGCATCCTGAGATGAAGGGCTATAAAATGTATTCAACATACTGACATTGTTTGACTTTCAAGGTTACAGGGGTAAAATATTTGTATATCTTTTAAAATAAATTTATACCAGGTGAGCAATGCAGGCCCATTGGGCCTCTTGTTATATATTTCTACTGTCATGTGAGGTTTATTTCAGGCTTGCCGTATTGGATGAAGATGCCTTTGGTTATGACTTCATTGGAGAGACACGGGTACCTTTAAAGAGACTCCGGGCTGGCCAGACTAAACACTTCAACGTTTACTTGGAAAAGCAACTTCCGGTCAGTAAATCAATCAGTCAGTACTATTAGTAAATATTATATTAAAAACACTGTCAAACAAATTTTTATTGATCAATTTTTACAAAGATGGCATGCAAACATTCAAAATTCATCACGAGGTGAACTCTATGGTAAATTTAAGAAGAAACATGTACTTGAGCCTTATTTGACTCGCCTTTCTGAAAAAAACAGATCAATATTATGCAAATTTAGACGTTCCAATATGAAATTTCCCATTGAAACGGGTAGGTGGCATGATATCCAAAAACAAGACCGAAAATGCACTCTATGTAAAAATGAGATAGGCGATGAATTTCACTATTTATTCAAATGTACAAATTTAATAATTGTAGAGCTTAGAGAAAAATATATTCCTCTGTATTATAGAAAAAATCCGTCTCAAATTAAAATGAGTAGTCTGTTGTCATTTTGTAACACGACAGTATTAAATGGAATTTGTCTTTTGTTGGAAAAAATTAACAAACTGCTGTAATATGTATCATGATTACTGTTTTGTGAACTTGCCATCCATTTTGTCATCACATATGTATTATTATATTCTGATATCTCATGTTGTACATTTTAATGTATCTGAGGAAAACCAATAAACTTATAAACTTGTAAGTGACAGCAAATCTATCTGACATGAGAAACAATAGATCTATTGGTCAGTAGAAACAATAGATTGATTGGTCAGTAGAAACAATAGAGTGTTTGGTCAGTAGAAACAATAGATTGATTGGTCAGTAGAAACAATAGAGTGTTTGGTATTACATAGTTTTTGAGATGGAGACCTTACAGGTGACCTCTATACTTTAGATTACTACATTATTTGGATAGAAATAAACTAAAATTTACATACACTGAGCAAACACACACAGACTTGTATATTGACATTATCCTATGTCTAGGTGAGAGGTTCCTGGTTTTGTTTGGCTTTACCTCCTTTGAATAGTTAAGGTAATATGATGATAATTTGTATGGATGTGAGGACACTTAAAACCAGTTTGAGGTGCTATCTCACTGAAAGGAAACATCCTAAACGCGGTAACATCTACTGACACGTCATACTGTAGAGTTCATCGATGAGAGAACTTAACTCATCAAAATTTCTAATCTAATTACTTCCTTTAACTTGATGTTGTAGCTGGAGAAAGATGATGATCTGATGTCTAATGATCGCGGCAAAATCCTCCTGTCCCTGAGGTATATTTCCGCCAAGCAGGCGCTCACCGTAGGCGTGGTTCGATGTGTGGAACTGGCATCCATGGACAGCAATGGTTACTCCGATCCCTATGTTAAACTGTGAGTTCAGACTCCTACATCTAAATGAGAGTTTTTACTCCGATCCCTATGTTAAACTGTGAGTTCAGACTCCTACATCTCAATGAGAGTTTTTACTCCGATCCCTATGTTAAACTGTGAGTTCAGACTCCTACATCTAAATGAGAGTTTT